TCTGTTCATGGGCCCTTTAAGAGGAACTGCTTGGGACTCCACTAGTTTCTCTCACAGACTCAAACTCCACTATTTTTACTGCCTTAAGTTATGGGAGCTTATATTCCTGGCTGGAACCCTGGCTGGAGACTATGATATGGGGCTGGGACCCCTTGCTCCTGAGATATTCCTCCCAGATCTTTATCTACCATATGTGGGTGAGAGACCAGTCCATTCTGTGTCTGTGAATCTGTGTGTCTCCTACCAGTCCGGATGGTTGCGGTTCCTTTAGTTGCATAGTTGTTGGACTTCCATTGAACTCAATTTCTGATGGTTGTGAGTGATGGTTGTTCTGTAATTTAGTTGTAATTTTGATGTGGTTGTTCAAGGAGGCAAACCATGTTTACCTACTACACTGTCTTGACCCTGGTAGCCACACCTCTTAATTGGATTTTGCTTTCCTCAGTTTTGCTCTCTTAGTTCTTAAGACAAGCAAGTGTACTCACATCTAGGCAGTAAGGTACTTAAATAGAAGGCAATTGTAATTGCCTTCTCTCACATTAATTAAAGCACTTAACTCATTCTAACATTAAAACCACATTGGATTGAATTCCAAAATGTCTTGGAGCTTTGTCTGACTATTTTGCTCAAAACTTCTAAGGTCATTCTGTTGACAGATTCAACTCCTAAGGGCAAATGAACACTAACAAACAGCCTTATGAAAGTAGAATATCAAAACAACATGCCAATATTTTAATTTTTAAAAGAAATACAACTTTTTCTGGTAAGAAATCCAAGCCCTTAAAAACTTCTGGTGTGCACATTATTTTCATACAAACAAGTTTTGTTAAGAGAGAAGTTATCATCTGAAGGTTGCTTGGTGAGTATGGAATCAGAATAAGAGGAATGACATACATGACTTGGATAATTAATGACACTAGCATGGGTTGATCAGATATAGAGCAGCCTCATAGATAATATCTCTTCCTACCTACAAGTTTTGTACTAACTATAAGGCAAAGATGGAGTCAGACAGATAGAGCTCAAAATATCAGCTTTATTACTGAGAAAGGCTAGATTATGAGACGCAGCTTGCAACCAAAAGCACTTGATAATATTTCTCCACTGAATTATAGCAGTGGACATTGTCATTGGTACAGTTGCCCAGGTGCAGTTACCCCACAGCCAAGCTCCTGGCTACAAGGAAGTGGAGAGATGAAAATGTCTGCACCCTGTGGGAAGGCTGGTTTACAAAGAAAGGAAAGAAACAGAGGTGGAGAGGAGAGCAGAGAGTGATAGCTGTCTTCCAAATTTTGCTTATTAGATAAGACATTTTTCCTCCTGTGAGAAGAAGAAAATGGAAGAAATGAAGGTTAGAAAAATGACCCAGTTGAAAAATAGGTAGTTTTTTTCATTGTCAAAGAAAAATGCCATCATGTGAATACTGGAAGCTTAAACTTTATAGGTAATTTAGGATCTTTTTAAAAATAAGGTTTCTTCAACAACCTTTGGAAAGACAATGAAATCACACTGCCACTAAGCAGGAAAAAGAATTATTGTGCATATTATGACTAGCTTTCAACCAGGGTCAGCTTTCCAAGCAGGTGATGAGAATGCCAGTGGAAGCCCATTGCTGCCCATGGTTCAGGCCAGTTCTTACACCCCATCTATTACCCGTGCCCCAAATTCCTCCAATCCCTCTTCATTTTCCTAGGTTCAAAACCTCTATTAAAATGCCAGCTCTCTGAATATAAGCTAAATATTAGCAAAACCATGGCCTGAATTTCTTAAAAACTAGGATAAAACTTGACATTTGAGGAGGGAAGTGCACCAGAAGAAATCTACCAGAAGCTATAAAGTGTGTCATTAAAATGGGAAATACAGCAATCTAACTTTTCCTATTTTCTACTTTTAATGCACCATCTTCTACCAATAAAAGACAAGTCATGTCAGCCAGCTAGGAGAAGATAAAATGTAAGGATATAGAGGCATTTCTAATAAATTTTAAAAAATTGAATGTCCTGGCCAGAGAAGAGAGTGACAGGGGCTCTTGATGAAATAATATGAAGGCTGAATATAATTTTTCAGGAAATAGACACAGGTATATGCAGCCTATCATAAATCATTGATCACATTTATGCCTAGTGCTCTATAACATTTTCCCTGTGGTGCCCATTGTCTATCCATATTAATAAAAAATAACCTGAAATTAATGCCAAATGCCCAATGAAAATACTGCAAAGCAAAAACACTACTTACCAGATTACTTTTGCTTCAGTTCAAAAGAGTTTGAAAGCTTTGTATCACTCAGTGGCATATTTCATTTTAAGCAGCCTTGTGTACTTTCATCTCTGCGCTATGTGTAGCATGTTGAACTGTCTTCAGAAGATCAAAGAGAAATTCACTGCAAGCTATTTACAAAGGCAAATTTAGTGGCTAACCAAGGTACTTACTTTACTAACCCAACTGGTCCCTTCGAACTACACTGCTCCATAGACCATGCTCAAGTGTGGAGGAGGCTTCCCTGAAGCTGGATGATGTTTGTAGCCTTATTGGTGCTCTTTCTTTGAACTGCACGCCATGGATTTTCCTGTGCTGGAAGAGCACAGTGGAGTTTTCTTCGGGACACATGAGTGCTAAAATCCCTTAGAAAACAAAACCAAAAACAAATGAAAACTACACCAGCACTGCAAAATTGAAAATATTTCATCTCGGTATCAACAAATAAGAAAATCTTGTCCCAAAGTAAATGATTATGATAGTTTTTTTCAATAATTGACCCACTTATATGTGTTTATCTGGCTATGGAATGGATTATAATGCTTTATGTGTACATCGATTTAACTAGAAAATGTTTGTTCTCTGTGTTCTGTTAATATAAAGGTGTACAGCCCTGGCCGGTATCGTTCATTTGGTTGGAGCATCATCCTGTAGACCAAAACATCAGATTTGGTTCCCTGTTACATACTTAGGTTGGGGGTTCAAATCCCTAGAATGGGTATGTACCCCGGTCAGGGCATTTCAAGAAGGCAGCCAATTGATGTTTCTCTCTCTTTCTCTCTCTCTCAAAGCAATGAAAAAAGAAAGTGTCCTTGGGTCAGGATAAAAAATAACATAAAGGTGATTGTGAAGCAAAGTAACACAATGGAAAGAATATAGATTTAGATGTTTTGAATTCCAATACACCTTATAGAAGGGACCGTGATTTTGCCTAAGTTGTTAACATCTCTGAATCTCAGATTTTTTTATCATCAAACTAGGAAGTTCCCTTATAAAAGGGAACTTTTAGGCATCAATGCTGCTCACCAGAATGTTTAGATTTCATGCTTTGGGGCATACAAAGAAATTGCCATTATCTTGACCATTAAGGTTACTCGTGGTGCTATAGCTTATTTTGGCAATGAAATGTGTGTGGAGGTAATGTGTCATTTCTGGGAAGAAGCATTAATTGATACTATTAAACTTTACAAAAGTGTCTTATTTTTCTGAGATAGTCTTTGAAGTATATGAGAGTGGCCCCCCAAAACCTGGAATTATCTTCTGGAAGGCAGGCCCCTTGTAATACAGGCTTGCTCTGCTAAGTGAGTGTTCTAGGAATCCATCTGTACCAGTGTACCAGCTGGCATGCTGCATTTGCCTTCAGCGGATTTTTTAAAAGACTTTTCCAACAATTTGCTCGTTTAATGGTGGGGGATTTACGAAGCACTTGCCCACACCACACTGAGTGCTCAGCAGTTTTTGACCAAAAACGACATGACCCCCATACCCCACCCTCTCTATACACCCAATCTCACCCCAAGTGACTGTTTTTTTGTTTCCTGGTGTGAAAAAAGTGCTCAAAGGGAAACATTTTGCCAATGTTAAATAAGTGAAGCAAAAAATGGAAGAAGCACTAAAAAGCATCAAAATCGATGAGTTCAAAAATTGTTTTGAGTGGTGAAGAAAATGTCTCAGTAGGTGCATTGCATCAAATGAAGAGTACCCTGAAGGTGTCTCAAGTTTAAACATGTAAAAATTAATCAAAATTTTATATAAATAAATTCCTGGGGTCTTGCACACCCCCCTCAAGTGGTGCTATGATGTGAATTTACAAGTCTGAGCTACCACATGGAGGAGAGCTGCCCTTGAGAATTACCTGGATCTAAAATCTTGCTGTTTCAAGTCACTGGGAGTTTTTATCACAGGGTACCCTACCTTTTATGACTGAACATCCTGTGGAATTACTTAAAGGATTAAGTGTAATAAAAATAAAGCCCTTAGCTAAGTGTTTGGAACATAATTGATTAATGTATACTAGTTCTCTTCTTTCTTTTTTTTTCCTTTAACCTTGAGCATTTTTTAAAAGTGAGTCTGCTGTTATAAATCTACAATAATATAAAATTAATAAAGTTTACTTTAGCCCCTCACATCTTTTCCTATTACCTTTATACTTCTCCTGCCTCTCTCCCTGGCTCATGGCAAACAGCTATTATAAAGAGACATGAAAAATCTATTTTATAACCATTTCTTTCCTCCTTACAGTGGCTGTCTCAAGAAAAATAATTTAAAAATCAGTTAAAATTACCTGGAGTCCTGGCTGGTGTATCTCAGTGGATTGAGCATGGGCCTGTGAACCGCCCGATCACGGTTCAACTCCCAGTCAGGGCACATGCCTGGGTTGCAGGCCAGTTCCCAGGAGGCAACCCATGAGAGGCAACCATACATTGATATTTCTCTCCCTCTCTCCTTCCCTTCCTCTCTAAAGATAAATAAATAAAAATTTATAAATAAATAAATTAAATTAAATCTGTTAAAAAATAATAAAATAAAATCACCTGGAATTGTTTTTGTTTTTTTTTCAGTCTCCCAGAAGCTACAGGGATAGTCTTCTTTAGAATAGCTTCTTTTGATGTGATCACCTTTGACAATTTCCCAAGAATCATGGCAGTTCTGAAGAGTATTTCCCATTATGCTTACTTCAGGGTCACAATTTTCCTTAGTCTAATTGGTCTGATAATTAGCTAAATTTCTGCTTAACTTACCTTGGTCTTAAATTGGCCTTCTTAAATTTACTGCAAGACCTAGAAAATGGAAACATACAGAAATAGAACAGAACAATTTTTCTAGTTCAGTGGATACAAGAAATGGCCCTAAACATACTTGATATCATTAATAGCTAATATATACAGGGTGGGGCAAATGTAGGTTTACAGTTGTTCATATGAAAAATAATGCAATAATTACTAAACAATACAATAATTAACTCTGTGTTTTGCATACTCATAACTGTAAGTCTACTTTTGCCTCACCCTGTATATATCACAAACTTTGTGACAGGCACTTTGCAAGCAATGGTTTATATAACCTTCACAATGCTATGAAGTAGGCAATGCAGTCAAGAATGTTTAGAGGAGCCAATTCACCAACATCTCTAACTAGTAACGAGTGAAGCAGAGACAGGTACCTAAGCGCTTTTGAGTTAAAAGTTTATGTTCTTATCCAAGTCATATGGTTATAGAGGTATGTAATGCCTATCTTAGGTCATCCCTCCCTTGAGGAATCTTACCTGTCATTGGCTAACCAGTCATACACTGGGGGCCAGGCAGGGTGAGGTAAAGGGGGAAGATGGGGTACCTTTGCCAAGGACATAAGCTTTGTCTCCTTAGTGGCTAATGGTCCCAAGGTCTCTTATTTAGCCTTAGTCATGGGTGGGGGGTGGGTATTACAGCTTCTGAAATCAGGCAGGGCAGTTCCCAACATATTATATTCTTTGGTTATTTACAGGAAACATTTACAAGGAGATATTTTTAATCTATATTTATTGGATTATTGAATATGGCTACATAGAAGATACTGTAACAAGACTATTTATGAAACACAGAAATAGGATTCTCCCTCTCAAAACTCAGTTTTACAAGGAGGAACAGTGGCAATATGTATTACATTTTACTGTTGTTATGTAGCTGTGGTCATCAGGTGCGATGGGGAAGAGAATAATGAATAATATAGCTCTGTTTTTCTTTGCAGAATAATTACATTCCATATTTAAGTTAATTAAAACTGCTATGGAAAATTTTTTATTACCTTTTGTTTTTATTTCTTTCAGAAGAGGAAATTAAAGAGAAGACATTCATTCCTTCCTGACCTCAACATTAATTTTTTGGTTTAACAAGTCTCCTTAGAATACATCTGAAGTTCTGAGGTAGAAAGAATATACTACAAATAATAAACCATGACCAGAGCATGAAAATCAAAGAGCAACTGAATAGTTGCAAATGCGATTTTTCAGATTAAAAATGTATATTGATTTAAAATTCAACTAACTTCACATTTTCTCACATTATATTGCACATATAGGTTCTGCTATTTGTACATGAAGTATGAGGAACAAAGGATCTCAATTTTTTATTTATTTTTATTTTTATTTTTTTAAGGAACAAAGGATCTTAATTTGTACATATGTGTATTTGTGGGAATTTTCTAGATCAAAATTTCTTGAAAGTCTGTCATTCACTGGACTGCATTGTAAAATACAGGATGGGGCAAAAATAGGTTTACAGTCATGAGTATGTGACAGAGTTTATTCTTGTATTATTAGCAAATAATAATATGCTTATAATATTATTACATGCTTATATGCTTATTACATATTATAGTAATATGTAATATTATTAGTAAATAATAATTATTATGCTTTTTCTGTATGAACAACTGTAAACCTAAGTTTGCCCTACTTTGTACTATCTAATTCTAGGAACATACAGACTTATATGGAAGAAAAATATGTGGGGATATGTGCCATGGAGTTTTTCATATATGTAATTCAACATGGATGCATACATGCTCATACAAGTGTGTAGAGACAAGAATAATTTGAGAAGAAATTCATATCATGCCACTAGATAGGAGGGATTCTTAAATTATCAAATGTGGATAGTTATTTAAAACTTCTGCTTGATTAGCCATAGTTGCTGCAGAGAGAAGACCCAGAGATGGGGTGGTAAGTGAGCTGAGGTTTCCTCAGACAATTTTATATTTTAGTCTTGTTAAATGTCTATAAATTAGAATAGTGCTAATTATAACTGCTAATAATAGCAATGAACCATGAAAAATTATACAAAGACAAAAGATGATACACTAACCCATGTTTTAAATACCCTTCTATCCACCTAAAACAGCTAACTTGCATTTTCACATGGTCATACAAACCAATGCACACACACATTCTCTCTCTCCCTCTCTGCTCTGTCTTTTTCTCTGTTTCTCTCTCTGCCTCTTTCTCATTCTTTTTCTTTCTCACAGGTTTTATTTGTTTTACTAAAATGGATTAATACTGTATATATTAATAAGCTGTTTGTTTTTTCCTTTAAAAATGCTTCAGTGCATTCCTCTGAATCAATAATATGAATAGAATGTATACTTTTGAATAGCTCCATTGTGTGGATGTATAAAACTTATTTACTCATTTTTCCTGATAACACTCAACATTTAATAGTTTTTACCATTAAAAATGTTTTAATAAGTATTTATATATGCAAATATTTACAAACTAAATATCTTTATATTTATTACTATATAATAAATCCTTTAAAGTGATTTCAGCCCAATAAATATTTTCTGTAATAAATACTCCCAATGTTAATCTCAGCTCTGTGGAGCTCATGGCTCTAATTAATTTACCTGTAACTTGATCATGGGTAACATATTGCTTTCTCTGGAAAATGTCTCAAAAATTATATGATGTTTTGATAGCAGTGAATTCTTATACTATTTTTATTTCTATGAATTCATGCTTACTCCAAATGGAAATAGAAGAGTACAGAAAAAACCCTACATTTTTATAGGAGTTTTATATAACTTCCAAATATTGGAAGCAAGCTATCTGACCTGTAGCTGGTGAATAAATTAACAACGTATGGTGCATCTTGTCAATGTAATACCACTCAGCAGTTCAGAGAAGTATACTTCTGCTGCACACAAAACCATTGAATAATCTCACATGCAACATGCTAAGTAGAAAGATTCTGACAGATAGAATTACACAGTGTCTGACAGCATTTACAGGACATTGTGAAAATGGCACAGCTGTGGGGACAGAAAACAAAGCAGTCGGGGATTTAGTGTGACAGGGTTGAGTGTGGGGGAGAGAGGATGGTGACTAATGGGACATGAGTGAAACCGAGAGAATGATGGGGCTCTACTGTAGCTTGATGGTGGTACGTTTTTCAAAATACCAAATGAATGGCTTGCAGTCTGTGCAAATTATACTAAATATAAAAACAAACACTGCCACCAACAAAAAGTAAAATATTTTCTAGTAAACTGCAAAGCATAAAGTGGAGTGCATTAACTCTACCCAAACTCCACCAAACTATAACCTTGTATGGATTTCCCTAAGATGAAACATGTAAATATGGTTTGGGACAGAACATTTTTTTTTGGCATTTAATTAATGCAGAAATGCCTAGATTAACATGACATAAAGCCAATATGTCTGCCTCTTAAAAATGTGCCAATATGTCTGCCTCTTAAAAATGTGTGTTTCATATGACATAAGCAGAAAGTGGATGAGTTGGCAGCTGTTAGCACTTGTTCAGTTTTCATTATTTGATGTACATGAAAAATAAACCTATTATTTGTCAAAAGTAGCAAGAAGGTTCCAGTTGTATTAATGTTTAAGTAATATTTTTCAAACTAGGAAGACCAAGCAGAGTTGTGTCATGGTTTTTAAAATAAGGGAATTAATTCAAAATTGCATTTAAACAGATCATGCATGATAAGTTTAATAGTGTAAAAATTCAATCTTTCAGGAGAAAGTAATATCAAACATAAATAACTGCCATAAGATACAAAAGATATGTAAAAAAGGCTCTTGCTTCATAAATCCGTCAGAAAAATTGAAGTATCAGTTCATTTTTCTTTTTCTAGAAGAGGGGAGGGAAGGGAGAAAGAGGGAGAGAAATATCTGTTGGTTGCCTCCTAGCGACTGAACCCACGATGCAGGCTGATGCCCTGACTGGGAATCAAACCAGCCACCTTTTGCTTTATGGGATGATACCCAACAAACCGAGTCACACCTGTCAGAGCAGAAACATCACTTTAGAAAGAAAAGATAACATGGAATGAGGTAATCAGGAATAGATATTTATTAGAGTTATGAAATTTTTGACACTTTTCTCACTTTCTTAAACTGATCTGTGATGCACTGTCAGCCAGGGCCTCAATCCAGACAAATATAAAGACGATGATATTAATTTCTATCCTGTATACTTTTTTCTATCAAAGCTCCCTTAAAAAATACTCTCATGACTTCCCACACTGATATTATTAAAAACAATACCTACACATGCCTTAATCTTTTTTGAGCATGTTCTTGAGCAATGTATCCATTGATTAACTTAGTTAAATAAAAAATGAAATATTACTGGCATGTATATTTATTTATTATTTATTTCCAATTGTGGCTTTCAAAAATTATACAGTCTATTTCAAATGAACACAGATAAAGTTAAATTATCATGAATCTGTTTTTCCATTGCAAACAAAAAAAATATACTTGAAAAGTAACTAAATAAAATTTAATATTAAAAAAAAATTGCATCCAAACTTAGATATGTGATAAATGAATATATATTAATTCATGAGATTTTTAATTTCTCAAAAATAAATTTATAAAGAATGTTAATTCTCATTTTATGACTTTTCTTTTAAATACCTACCCAAAGATATGTTTATTGATTTTAGAGAGAGAGGAAGGGAGAGAGAGGAAGAAAGAAAAGCATTGACATGAGAGAGAAACATCGTATGTACCCCTAGCAGGGATCCAACCTGCAATCTAGTGTGTATCCTGACCAGGGATCATCAAATCTACACCTTTTTGGTGTATGGGTTGATGCTCCAACCAAATGAGCCACCCAGCCAGCACTCATTTTATGACTTTTTAAGCCACATTTAGTTTTCTTTGTGAAACAGCAATCTTTTAATTGAGAAAAATGAGCATGATGTGTAAAATATTAGGGAATAATTCTTAAGGAAACAGTAGAGAATGTGCTGATATAGATACTGCTTTGTGTAATTGAAG